TGCAGTATCATGAATAAATGAATGAATGAATGAATAAGTAATAAATAAAAGGTGCCAGTCTTTCCCACCATGCTACCTGGTACCTATACTCTAAAAATGGATAAGACCATATTGTGTTAGCGTCACATTTACATGAGCCTGGAAGTAATATAATAATTGTAAAGCCTTTGTTCTGCCTTACACAGTGGCACAGTCCTTTCCTCAGGTGTTTTATATGAAAGTGCTTAGTAGAGTCCCTGCCATATGTCCCTGGATGTTGTTAAGTTCCACACAAAGGTAGCTTTAATATCATGTGACATTCCTTTTCCCAGACATTCCGAGGTCATCCTGGAAACATGTAATAGTTCCTTAGATTTATGATCAGAACAAGAAAGTGCATCTGGAGAAACTTGTTTGTCTCAAATGTCTGTCAGCCAGCCCTACCTTCCAAGTATAGCCAGCATCTGATACTTTTTTGTACCTCCAGGCCAGCACCCTGGTTTGGGTGACCATCTTCCACGGCAAAAGCTTGTAACAGTCTTGCTTGTTAGATTGTTAGACCCCCTCAGCCATCTGTCCGTAGGGCCAGATCACTCCTCTGCTCAAAACCTTCCAGTGGTTTCCCATCTTAGAGAAAAGTTGGAGTCCTTACAGTGGCCTCCAAAGCCCTCCATACCCTGCCACTTGCTACCTGCTGACCATCTCCCCTGAGCTCCGTCTGTCCCATCCACACTGATGTCCTTGCTTTTCCTGGTGTTCACCAGGCATGAGCCCATGTCCAGGCCTTTGTCCTAGCTGTCACCTAGCAGTTTTCCTCCAGATAATTGTTCACTCCCTAATACCCGCATGCCTTTGCTCATGTACTGCCTTTTTGGTGAAGATTTCCCTGACGACCATATCCAACCTTATTCAGATGAGCTCCTGCCACCCATCAGCATGCTCTGCCCTCCTTTCCCTGCTTTATTTTTCCTCTGTGGTATTAATCACATTATCTGGCATGCTGGATTTTATTTGCACAATAGAATGTAAGCTACATGAGGGCAGGGATTTTATTTTTGTGGGTTTTTTTTTTTTTTCAGTATCTATTCCCAGCACTACTTGGTATAATAGTTGTTCAGTAAACATCTTTTGAGTGAATTAAGTGAATGAATGATTATTACAGGCCAAGCTCTGGGCGAATTGGGAGGGGGGAATCATGATGATGAATAGATTGTAGTTCCTGTCATGACTTGATGGAGTTTTTTGCCTGGTAGAGACAAGACACACAAACAGATCATATTGACATGGCATGGTGGGGTTAGATGAAGCCATGCACAGAAGAGACCCTGAGACAGACCTCACCAACAGGGAAGGCCTCCTTAAAGCAGATACTCTACTCAAATGCTGGCAGCTTGCTGCTGATGGTAGTTTAAGTCTTAGCAAGTATTGACCTTTTTACTTCTTTACATTTTAATTTGTGTTCAAAAAAAAAAAAAAATTAGTGGCAGCCCTGGGTGGTTCAGTCTGTTAAGCAGCTGCCTTCGGTTCAGGTCATGATCTCAGGGTCCTGGGATCAAGCCCCGCATTGGGCTCCCTGCTCAGTAGGGAACCTGCTTCTCCCTCTCCCTCTGTGCTCCTCTCAATCTCTGAGGCTCACGCTCTCTCGAGTAAATAAAAATTTTTTAATTTTTTTAAAAAGATTTTATTTACTTATTCATGAGAGACAGAGACACAGAGGGAGAAGCAAGCTCCATGCAAGGAGCCTGACGTGGGACTCAATCCCGGGTCTCCAGGATCATACCCTGGGGCCGAAGGCAGGTACTAAACCACTGAGCCACCCAGGCTGCCCCAGAAGAAATTATTTTAATGAAGTACAGTTGACACAGTGTTATATTAGTTTCAGGTGTACAACATAGTAATCCAATTTCTCTGTATGTTGCAGTATGCTCACCATAAGTGTATCTACCATCTATTACCATAGGATACTATTCCAAGATCACTGATGATACTCCTCCACTGTAACCTTTCATCCCTGTGACTCATTCATTCCACAACTGGAAGCCTGTACCTTCCACTCTTCTTTGCTCATTTTGCCCACCCCTCCACTCTGGCAACCATCAGTTTGTTCTCTGTATGTATGGGTCTGTTTCTGCTAGCACTGACTTGGGGGCACCTGGGTGGCTCAGTCACTTAAGCAGCTGACTGTTGACCTCAGTTCAGGTTGTGATCTCAGGGTTGTGTGTTCAGGCCCCACCTTGGGCCCCATGCTGGGATGGCTTGAGATGAATAGGTCACTTAAAGGAACGTTAAACCCAAGTCCAATCAGCTTTATCATCTGTGCATCACAAAACACCAACACTTCCCCTGGCTTAACACCAGGAGTAAAAGAGAAGGAAATAAAGTTTATCCTTTCCAAGCTCAAGGATTTTCAAGAGCATGAAGATCCCTTTAAAATACATACATGTACAGCTTGAAAAGTCCATTTATCTACCTTAGAAGCTGTGACATTTGGAGGCTAATTAAGCACTCGTTTTGAATTCTGGAATCCAGCTTGAGAACATAATTACATGGAGAATCTTTGTGCGCCTAGCAAGACAATTAGTAAAACAGATGACATACTAAACTAGAATTGCCATTTGTTGGCCTTCTGGTAGGCTGGGGTCAACTAATGGGTTATTTCCATTATGCTCAACGAAAACAATTTACATGTGCTTTCACTTAGTAATGGGTGTAATTTTCCAGGGGGCCAAATCACATATTGAAAGAATAAATGTGGAAACCAATTATTCAAACTGGAGTTCCTGGCAACAGAACAGTATCCTACACACCCATCCCTCACCTCCATCGGTGTATAAACGAAAAGTTAGATTACAGGTTCCAAGGATTGGAGAGCACCTTGTAACTTTTGTAGTCCAAGCTCCCCACCCAGTGCCAGGAGCTTAAATCATGTTAGGGTTTTTATTTTTTTAAATCAGCCCAGCCCCACTTTTGGATAACCCCAAGTCTGAGTTCCATAAAGCTCCCAAGTCTTTCCCAATCTTCCCTCAAGTCAGCTATGCTGGTTCTAGGTACACACTGGGACTTTTCAGACCAAACGCCAAGACCTTTAATATTCCTGCTTGTAGGTTCTAGTGGTTTTGGCCCTCCAAAGTAGAATTATCTTTCAGGGTACTAATTCTGCCCATTACAATGGTGATACAGTATATTCTGATACTGCCATTTATAACCTGGGCAATGTTAACTTTCTTATCCTAAGGTTATCTGTAAAATGGAGTAAATTGCTATCATTATAAACATTCAAAAACTATTTCTTTGCCTCACTCAGGTTTTATTAAACAGGATTTGTGCTTCCAGAACACTAGAGATATCCCTTCTGCAGTTTTTCAACCAGCCACAAATTCACCATCCAGGCTATAGACCATCATGAAAGAGGCTGTGCATAATTTGTCAGGACCTTTGGCACCCAGTCACAAATTCTGAGATTGAGCTGATCCCATCTGTAGTTGATTCACTTTCTCCAAATGTCAACTGCCTATTGGTAACAACTTTGTATATAGCACAACAGAATAGACTTAAGACCCTTTGATGGAGTCCACATTCTAGGGACATATAATGGCAATAATGATCACCACAGGTGGTATAGAGCTGGAGCCAGGTGGCAGTACATACTTTACATAGGGCCTCACAGCCTGTAGATGAAGGCATCAAGAACTCAAAGTAAAACGCATGTACTCTCTCAAGTGTGGTCATTGTGGCAAGAGTTCAAAACCAATTTTCTTACTCAAAGCATCAAAACTCACCATCAGACCCCAATGTTTATTTGGGGTGAGCACTTAATCCTGAATGGGTCCCCTGGGTGGCTCAGTGGTTGGGCCGTCTGCCTTTGGCTCAAGTTGTGATCCAGGGGTCCTGGGATCGAGCCCATCAGGCTCTCCACAGGGAGCCCGCTTCTCCCTCTGCCTGGGTCTTAAAAATCCTTTAGCACAAAAATCCAGAATGATTTTGGAGTATCCAGTCTTCATAAGGGGATCCCTGAGTGGCGCAGCAGGTTGGCACCTGCCTTTGGCCCAGGGTGCGATCCTGGAGACCTGGGATCCAATCCCACATCGGGCTTCCGGTGCTAGGAGCCTGCTTCTCCCTCTGCCTCTCTCTGTGGGACTATCATGAATAAATTAAAAAATAAAAATAAATAAAACTATTGTAAGTAGGGTAAGTCCTAAGATAAATTGCAAACCCAAATGTTGTTCTATCCCACCCCCTTTAAACATTAAATGTGAGCTGCAATTTGGTTGGCAGGCTTTTATCTGAGGCTTGTTACCTTCCGTATGCACTCATTAATGGCCAAAACCCGTTTTCATTTACCAAATTAGCACTCCTACAAAATACATACTTTATAAAGGATATTGGTAGAACCACAGTACTCCCTACATTCTTAAAATCTACACAATTTGGGGGCTTTCTTTCAATTATGTTATGGGGAGAAGATAACAATTACTTCCATTTTATCATGTATGGGCACTATCAATAGAGCCATCATTATGGTGCTTAATAGCAAGTATTTCTTGGACAGATTCCATTCAGCTCTAGAATATTCCTGCAAAATATATAGTTCATCTTTCAATCATATCACTATTCTAAATCAAGTGTTTTAAACAAAAGGGCTATAGTATATTCCTCTGCAAATTTCTATTTTCAAGCCCAAGACATTTTCTAAATTATGTGTAAAGATCTCATTTTGGGGATCCCTGGGTGGTGCAGCGGTTTGGCGCCTGCCTTTGGCCCAGGGCGCGATCCTGGAGACTCGGGATCGAGTCCCACGTCGGGCTCCCGGCGCATGGAGCCTGCTTCTCCCTCTGCCTATGTCTCTGCCTCTCTCTCTCTCCGTGTGTGTGTGACTATCATAAATAAAGATTAAAAAAAAAATATTTAAAGATCTCATTTTGTTAAAAAAAAAAAAAAAAACTAAGGTCACAGGGTCTTAAACTACAAAGATGTCCTATTTCCCCTCCATCCCATGAAATTAAAATAAGCACACTTGAACAGATGGTTTATAAAAATTTATTGAAATTGAAAGTATGATCTTCTATCCCATGAGCATCCATTCGGGTACCTGCAAGGACAAAGAAGCCATCTTTATTCACGTTTCTTTCTAAGTTTCAATTCTAATATTTTGAGTACACAGAATATCAGATCTTTTAAAATCATCAAATGATCAGTGAGAGAGTTCAAGGTGCAATGAGATCATCATGTATTCTGGAATATGACAAAAGTACTGATTTTCAAGCCTTACCCTTCAACTGGTAAGATGTTCTCATAACTGGATTGCTGCTCTCCTAAATGCCCTACAAGCAAGAATTGCAGGTTAATCTTGGTTTTAAAAACCACACCCTATGTGATGCTTGCTAATGAAGTAACCTCAGAATCAAAATGGAACGGTTTAATGAATGATATCATTCTATTTCATTTGGCAGAATCACTACATCACTGGTTACATTCTAATCTATCAGAGGGATGAGAAACCAACTTACCTCTCTAAATCTTCAGCTTGACAGGTCTGCCTGTTTGAAAAAGGAAAAAATGCCTTTTATTTAAAATTTATACTACTTAAATTTCCCCATTTGTAACTAAGAACATCTAAAGCAGCAAACCTATTCCACACATTAATAGTTTAAGTATATGCTGTTCAAACTCTTATCATAGAACACTACGAGTAATCCTAATGTAAACTATGGATGTGGGTGGTAATGGTCTATTACAGATTCATAACTAGCAAAATCCTCTGGTGAATGTGGACAGTGAGGTGTGAAGACGGTATTTAGAAATTATGTTCAATTTTGCTAGGAATACAGAAACTGCTCTTGAAAATGATGTTAATTAACTCACTCGCATTCAAATGCCATAAAATGCCTTGCAAAAACAATGTTTCTCAAGTTGTGAATCCTTAAAATTAAAACATTTGTGCATGAGCCACTATAGTATTCAAAACTCGTATTTTCTGTGGTAGAATGACTAATTTTCCTTTTCACGGCTATGGATAGGATTGCTGCAGCCGATACATCAGATAGGAGCGAAAGACAATTTTGCTCATCACTGCTAGTCAGCTGAACTATGGCTTCATCAACTGTATCGGCTTTAAGTCACTACATGTAGAAACCAAACTTGAGATTTCCATACCATGGCTTACTTAAACTCCTGTGCTCCCAGGCCTTGTAAGCTGGCCTCAAAACTCTTCACACCTGCAGAAATTTAGTCAAATTTATTAATAAGTAATATTAACAGTAGGTTTTTCAAGCTTTCCCAATACTGTTTCAGTTTTTAAAAATCTTCACTCTTTTTCAGAGAGATTCCCATCTATTTCAAAAATCATCACTAACAGCATTTTACTTAGTAATCAAGTAATAGTAGTAATAATAGAATACATACCTTTATACGAGGTCTTTAAAATCAGCACCTAACAAAAAATATTTTAGACATACTTCACAATACCCAGAAAGCACATTACAGAAATATAGACCCGAGTTCGGAAACCAGAGTTTTTTTAGGTCTTACCCCCAAGCAAGCCATCCATGATAGTGGTCTGTAAGCTAGAAAAGAAACAAGACATTTCATTAAAATGTTAATTATCCTGAATTTTTCTAAAGTTTTTGTCACAGGGTTCTTCAGTGTTAAATTTGTCTACATGGTCATTTCAGGTCAGACATTTGATCAACATCATTTCAAAAACCCCGTTCTCAAAGCATCCTCAGGATGCATTTACTAACCAGATGTAGAAAACTAGTAACTTAGTAGTTCAGCATTCTATTTCAGCTTTCACGGTAAATACTGGACCTACTCAGATGTTTAACACTCACCCCAAAAATAGTTGGTGCAGACAGGTCAAAGGCTCAAGTTCACCTAAAAAATAAATATAGTTAGTAAGGGGCAAAAGAGGAATTTTCTCCCCACAAATCCAAAAAATGCCTGATGTCAGGTAGAGCTAATTAAGACCTTCATGTTCAGTCAGTATTTGCTTATCATCATACAGGCTGCTTTTTACAAATGACAGAGTCCTAACTCACGGTAACAGGACAAGGATCTGGCCATTTAATGCAGTAAGCAATCCAAGCATTCCATGGTAGGAATGCTTTCTGTGCATAAGACTCTGAAAAGCCATCAGTGGCATTCTTTGTCATGTTTGCCCTGTTACCAATGTTTAGTTGAACTATAATTTTACTCACCCTTTCAACTTCCAGCTAATTATGTTGCGTGCCTATGAAAAAGTAGAGAAATTGGTTTAGTGGCATTTTGCTTGTGCTATTTCATACCAAACCCAGTTTTACTATCAACTCAGATACATCAGACAAATGGTGTCTCTCTTCATGATCCAATCTGCTGAACTATGCAACCATCATAAGTATCTGTTTTTTCAGGTTCCCCAAGCATTGAATACAAATACCAGAATACAGAAGTTCACAGTAGCAAAGTACCGGGTAAATTATAGACTACTTAAGAGGTTTCTCACCTGTTTGCCCATGGCTAGGATGTGAAACTTGAGCTTTGGATCTAGGAAGAAACAGCTTCGTGTAAACTTAGCTGTAATCTCTAAATTCTTTAAATCACCATTTTGGGTGCCTCAGTTAGTTTAACGGTGGTAGTAATTCTCGTCATTCTCACAGTCAAGAGTAGCAAATAAAAGGTCATCATTGCAGCACTTTCAAGCCAAGCTCCCCGTGTGCGAAAATGTCAGTTAACTTACCTTGGCAGCCACTTCCACCCCTTTGGCACAGAACTAGAAAACAGACAAGAAAATCCAATGAAACACACGGCGCAGCCAAGTTAATTATCAACGTTCTGGGTATTTCAGCCTCAGAGTAAAACTTTTCAGAAATCCCTTCTGTCCACTACTCTTAAACCATCACAGGCTAAACAAAATACCACCTCCAAGCAGATCAGATTTCTACCACTGCATCTACCGTTTCTTACCTTGTCCATCAGGAGCCATCAAAAGCCGCACTGCACTCGCGCCTAGCACCATTCCTAGAAAAAAAAAAAAAGATTAGGATTTTTTTAAGATAAGTCATTTTGTTCTAAGTTGAAGCCTAAGCATGCCGTTTTCCTCCCGTCTGAATCAGGCCGTTCAACCATAATCTCAGGACTATAAAGGGTGCATGCACTGAACAGCCTAGACAGAAAGCACCGCACAAAGGCTGGGAGGCACTGACGTTAACGGCGCACCGCGGACTGCAGCCGCTGAGCACCACGTGGACTACCGCCACCGCCCGCCTTCCCCGGCGAGAGGCCGCAAGAGGCCCGGGCCGAGGTCACCAACGAAGGCCCACTCGGGGACCCGGCAAGCGCCGCCATCAGAGCCGTTGGCATTCATCAACAGTCTCAGATGTCCCTACCAACACAGGCTTCATCACAGGCAGGAAACGCGAGCCCACGGGTTTTTCGCAGTTCAGCCCCAACAACCCGCGTCGTTAAGAGTCTGGGCCGCACCCAACGCGCAATCGTTTACCATCTTCATCTTGTGAATCCTGCAAAGGCTCGTGACCAGCCTAAAAATACCAGTTTAAGGCGCCTTCAATTGCCAAGAGCTTTGGGGGGGGGGGGGGCCTCGAGCCAAGAAGCTATTAAACAAAAAAGACACACACGTACCGAAAGCCGACTCCTAGCCTCAAAAGACCGAGATGGCGTCCAAGCGCCGGTATATAAGGACGCTTCTCCTGACGTCATGACGCCCCGTCTCCGCCAGCGCCGGCTTCAGCTCCTCCCCATCTCCTCCCTTCATCTCTTCCTCCTCCTCCAGCCACACCTCCCTTTTGGCCCCGCCCCGCCTCGCCGTTGTGGGCGGCGACGCGACCGCCCGCGTGACTCCATGCTCCCGCCCTGCGGCCGCCTGAGAAGGAAGAGAGGGGAGGGGGCGCGAGGGACGGAAAGCGCTGGGGGAGGGGGAGGGGGGCGGTGTAAGGGTGAGTGATTTCCTTCCGGCACGTCGCCCGCTCCGGGGGAGGGGGTGGGGGGTTTCACTTCCGGGACGGTGTTCCGGCCCATTCCGGCCCATTTCCACCCCCGGAGGTAGGTGCTGCTCCTTGCCTGGGCTCGGGCCCCGCACTCCGGTCCCGCTGCCCTGCCCCGGGGCCGCCTCGTCCGGGCTCCGCCGCAGCCCGCTCCTGGGGCGTTCAGCCACTCCCCTTCACCCCACCCTCAAGGCACCGGAGACCTTCCACCCCCTTGGCCCCGGGCCGGGCTGAGCTGCCGGACCCGCCCCCTCGCCGGGCCCCTCCCTCAGGACCCCGGGATGGGCGGCCCCCTCCCCCACCCCCACCGCAGCCCGGACACACCCAGACACACACACCCACCTCTGGGCAGCTCCGCGCCCGCCTCCGCTTGCCGCCTGGACGGGGTCCCGGGGCGCCGCCCCCTTCCCGGTGCCCTGCCCTCACCTGAAGGCTAGCTCCCCAGCCTCACGCCTTGCACCCCTCTCCTCCCCCGCTCCTCGGTGACATATCGCCCTTCCGCCAGTTCCCCGCTACCCACGCTTCCCAACGCAGACTGAAGCCACTCAAATACCGGAGTGGCCAACCCCATGGCGTTCCCGGTTCTCCCTCTTGCAGCTCTCACCCTTCCAGTGCCGACGGTAAAGACCTAACTCCAGGGGCTTCCTCCTCACTGGGGAATTGCCGGGAAGAGCAAACAAAAAAGGCGCTGGTGTAGGCTCCAAAATAAACACATCTGAATTCATGATGGCATCGACAGAGGCTCTTATTGGATTAAAAGTTTCAAAACAAACAAAAACGCTTTGGAAAAAGGTCAGATTGGCTAAAGTTGGTTCTTAAAAGCAGTGTATACACTTCCCTACTTACCGATAAGTGTGTTGTAAATGTGGGGCAATACTGTGAGCTTGTCAGGATAAGTTCCTGGGATTTTAGATCTTAGATAACTACGTAATGTCTTATAAAGTTACAGAGAAATGGAAACATTGGGCTCAAGGCAGTGTCTTCCTGTTGAGATTTATACAAACTGCTCTCAACCATTGAAGGGTATTGGATGCAGTTACCCGCATAGTGTTTCAGCTATTTCTTAAAAATCTTTTAATGTAAACATATTGGCAATACTTAGTAAATCCTTTTTTTTTTTTTTTTTTTTTTTACCAGTTTTGGGGAATTAAATTTCAGAATCAGTATCATCACCACCCTGAAATTCCCAACTTTGAGTTTAGGTAGAAGTAGGTTTACCTACTCTTTCCTAATTCTGAGAGTCAACTTTTTCAAGTTCTCTGCAGCGCCACTGAGTTCTGACACAGCTGTGGCAAGTTTCCTAATCTAGAGTTTGCTTAGGAGCCCTAAACCCAAAGCCTTTGTTTTTGGTGGGGGCTCTGACTCTTAAGCTTAGAAATAATGGCTTATATTTATGTGGGCTATTAGTCACCATTTAAATAATAAACATAACGTACGCAGCGTGTAGTAAAGTATTAACAAGAGGGATACCTAATCATCCCATTTGTGGGTAATTTCATTTATTACAAGAGCTTATTACTTTCTTCTCCAATGAAAAGTTGTCGCAGGATTTTATGTGCAGTGTGCAAATACTTTATGATCAAAGAAAAAGGGAAAAAAAACTGTCACAACTGCTTTTGCCCCTTCTGTTTTGTTGAACTTCTGTTTTGATGTTGCATAGCTTCTTAGTAAGGGAAGTATGGACATAACTCGAGTTGACACAAGTCTAGCAATCACATTTTGGTTTTAAGGGTATCTTGCTTTGAAACCAGAACTAGAAAACCTGTTGGTACTTCTTTTCTGTATTAAATGTAAGGAAAGTTATCTCTTTTTACTTGGAGATTTGAAATTTTACCCCAAAATATTTGTATATACCTTTGAATTGGAAAGCATGAGAGGAATGAAATTCTAACTATCGATGAATATGGTTTCCTCTTTCAGCAGGGTTGAATGTCTGCCTACACCCTCAGGCACGACCATGGAGAAAGGTGGGAACATACAACTGGAGATCCCCGACTTCAGCAACTCTGTTCTGAGCCATCTAAACCAGCTGCGCATGCAGGGCCGCCTCTGTGATATTGTGGTTAATGTGCAAGGACAAGCTTTTCGGGCCCACAAAGTGGTACTGGCTGCCAGCTCACCCTATTTCCGCGATCACATGTCCTTGAATGAGATGAGTACTGTCTCCATTTCAGTCATCAAGAACCCTACTGTTTTTGAACAGCTCCTTTCTTTCTGCTACACAGGGCGGATTTGCCTGCAGCTGGCAGATATCATTAGCTACCTGACAGCTGCCAGTTTTCTGCAGATGCAGCATATTATAGACAAATGTACACAGATCCTGGAGGGTATTCATTTCAAAATCAATGTGGCAGAGGTGGAAGCAGAATTAAGTCAAACGAGGACAAAGCATCCAGAAAGACCTCCAGAATCGCACAGGGTTACCCCGAATCTGAGCCGTTCCCTGAGCCCACGACATAATACCACCAAGGGAAACCGGCGAGGTCAGGTCAGTGCTGTGTTGGACATCCGGGAGCTCAGTCCCCCTGAGGAGTCCACCAGCCCTCAGATAATTGAACAGAGCTCGGACGTAGAGAGCCGGGAGCCCATCCTCCGAATCAACCGAGCAGGACAGTGGTACGTGGAGACGGGAGTAGCAGACCGCGGGGCCCGGAGTGATGATGAAGTCAGGGTTCTTGGAGCAGTACACATCAAAACTGAGAACCTGGAGGAGTGGCTCGGGCCTGAGAATCAGCCTTCCGGAGAAGATGGGAGTAGTGCGGAGGAAGTCACAGCCATGGTGATTGACACCACCGGCCACAGTTCTGTGGGACAGGAAACTTATACTTTAGGATCTTCAGGAGCCAAGGTGGCTCGGCCAACAAGCAGTGAAATTGACAGGTAAGTTTTATTTTCTCTGCTCATCTGATGGCTGTTGTGCAGACATCACTGAAGCAGACCCTCTGTGATACAGAGCGCATCTTCTTACTTGATGCTTTTAGCCAAAGTAAGTTGATGTTGGGGAAACTGGCAGTGTGCCAAAAGACTTGCATTCTTATTTTTTTAAAGCAGGAAGCTCCTAGTCCTGAAGTATTCACAGTGTTGTGAGAACTATGGTAAAGTTAGACACTTCTGTGAATCAGAATAGCAGCTGTAGCCATACTAGCATCAGTAATTGCCAGGGCCTCCTCGGATTTCCAGGCAGGGAGCTGATCAGCAGCTGGGAGCCTGGCATCTTTGCCCTTCCTTGGTATGTTATCACTCAGGTAGGTGGCCTTGGGGACTTTTACTTTCCTTTGTAACACTGTTTACTTTCCTTTGCCCCCACCTGCCAAATTAGAAGTAGTATGGTACCCGTGGTGATTGTTCTTTTTAATGTAATCACAATAATTCCAAAGAAAAGCTTTTTTGATGTCCCCGCACCCCCACCCCCGTTTGTCATCTGATAATATGTTTCCTGTTTTCTTTCATGAACAACTGCTGGCACCACAAGCCTGACAGTCTTTTTTTTTTTTCACCAGTGCTGTTAATGCCCCATGCCTCACTTTTCTTTGTCTAATGTGTTGCAATTGTTGGAACATTTCTTTTTTGGTGGAAGTAGCAATAATTTTAATCTAAGTTAGTTGAAAGTTGAAAGAAATATTACCAACTTAGATTGGTAAGATTTGGTTTTTTTTTCCATTCTTAAAAATTAATTAAGATGGACTGCATGAACAATGAAAGCTAAAGAAGCTATTACTTTGATTCACACCTGGTCTTGAAAGCCATATATGGGTCACAGAAATTCAGAGAATATATCCTTTAGCCTCTATAGGTGGTCTCTTCTTGTGTCCTTAACGGTTAAAAAATCCCCATGTGCACAACGCTTACTGTCCCATCCACCCCCAGTGTTGGCACTGTGGTCCAGTGTTAGAACTGTATCAGAAGTAATGGCTCTGGATGCAAAGATCTTTAAATCTCCATGATCTGTATCAGCAGTCCCAAATACATATAACAAATTACCATGGGGCTTGGGGGAAGGAACAATAAAAAAATCTAATAGTTACATAGAAGAAACAAAATCATAGACTCAGTTTTAATGAATGGTTTAATGGTCTCCCCAGTACTTAGGGTAGAAGCTTCTATTTACTCTTAGTTTCACCAGGCCCTGTGGTCTGTGTCATTTTACATTTGTTCACTACCAGGGGAGACCTCTCATTTCCCATCAGATCCTGTTTTGGCCCCCACGAAAGTGTTTCTTAGTCGTCTGTGGTTGCACAGCCATGGGATAGAAAGGGTAGATAGCACCATATTCTAAGTTCCTTGACACTACTTTTCTGTTAGTTTCTTTTTTGCTCCTCTTCCAACAGATTTAGCCCCTCCGGCAGTGTGGTTCCCTTGGCGGAGAGACACAGAGCCAGAAGTGAGTCTCCTGGGAGAATGGATGAGCCTAAGCAGCCCAGCTCCCAGGTATGTAGTGGGTTTAGGATTGCTGCACTGGTTGAAGAAAGTGCCACTGTGTGTGAACAGAATTTCATGAATAAGAAAGACATAGGAAAGGTGACAGTGGCCCTGTTAAATAAATACTATATTTGATTCCTTTTTTCTTTATTCTTGCTTGTGAGCATGTAGGAGATACACTTTTGTTGTCCGTAGAGTTTGGGAAGTAGGAAAAGATAAGACTGTGGAACTCTGCCGATTATAGGAGCCAATCTATATTCCTGAGAATAATAGAAATAAAGCCTGAAAACTACGTGCAGGGAACTTAGGACCTGGGATGGAGAGAGTCTGATTTTGTATTTGCGTGGGTGTAACATTACATAATTACTGGTTTATATAGTATCATATATATGTAAATAAATTGTTTATGCACTTTTTTGTGTGACTGCTTTTTTTTGTATGCTTGTATCTTTTCATTTTTTTCTTCCTGAATCTTTTGTTAGACCGAAATGTTTTAGAAAGGCTAGGAATGATGTTTTTCCATCTTCTTTGCAGCTCTCCTTAGCAAGTAGTATAAGTAGCTAGTTGATATTTTTGTTTGTTCTCATAAGTCCGTACCATTGAATATTGATTTTTAAAAAGATTGTGCACTCACCTAGTAGAACACAATAAATTGTAAACACTTTTGCCCTTTCAAAGGAGATACTGGTGGATTAAGATTGGATAGCTAATGTTTTTGGCTTCTGCATTGTATGATAGTGTCTTGTTTAATTTTTATGTAAACCATTGGATATTTATTGTGTCCTTAGTATAGTAACTGTGGTAAGACTTTGTTAGAAACTGTCCTTATTTGCACATTATTATACCAAGGTACCCAAAAAGGAAGGTAACTATTAGAAGATAGTTTTTTAGTTTTTAATAATGTGTTAGAGAAAATGTTAGGAGCTTGGAGGAAAAGTAACTTTATTCATATAATAGGGCCCCTTTTTCTCTTCACCTGCCAGATAGGATGCAAGTGCCTGTCAGGCAAATCCTGCAGTGGGACAGACCTTCCAACTGCCTGAGTGGAGCAGACAAACAGACAGAAAACACGCGGGCAGCCCCGGTGGCTCAGCGGTTTAGCGCCACCTTCGGCCCAGGGTGTGATCCTGGAGACCTGGGATTGAGTCCCACGTTGGTCTCCCTGCATGGAGCCTGCTTCTCCCTCTGCCTGTGTCTCTGCCTCTTTCTCTCTCTCTCTCTCTGTCTCTCATGAATAAATAAATAAAGTCTTTAAAAAAAAAATAAAAGAAAACACGCATAGCTGAGACTGTCGCAAGTTTAGAAGCAGCACTGTGGGAGTGGGGGTGCTAACAGGCCGTTATTAGAATCACTGTCCACAGAATAAAGTGTTATTCAGGAGAGACTGAAATGCACTTTTTATTTTTATTTTTTTATTTTTATTTTTTGAAATGCACTTTTTAAAGTAGTAGTTAGGAAGAGATAACTTACTTATATGTAGGTGGGATGGGGATAAAAATGGGAATTCTGCAAGGGTGGGTACCTGACCAGAGCAGAAGGTACAGGCTATAAAGCAAGAGCAGATAAGTAATATTATCTGGACATGTTATTAAGAGATGAGTTATTATATACCTTAATATGTGTGAAAGTTTATTTTGGGGAGTCTCCACCACAGTTTCCCGGCCACGGAGAACCAAAACAAGACATGGACTTCATTACAATAAGAACAAATTTTGATAGGCTTGAAGAGCTTTCTGAATACAGGGGTGATTAAACTGCTCTGGTCAGTTCTTTATCCAAAATTTTCTGTGGCCTTTTCTTTTTTCTGCCACATGGAGGTGAAAATACTTGGCCTCATTTTCCAAGGAATTAAAATCTTTCTAACCTAGCTTTTCCCAACACTCATCAGCATTTATTGTCACAAACGGACAGGCTTACTTTGTGTGTCAGAACAACATCAAACTCATTCTTGTCTCTAGACCTTGAGTCTGGAATGCCCTGTTCTTCCCAGGTGTCTGGGTTCACCCAAGACCCAATTCCTGCTTCATGTGCCCTGACTCGTTCAGTCCTCTTTGATCTCTCCTTACACCACCACCGTAGCATTTACAGATGGCACAATAGAATTTTTCCAAACTCTGTATTGGCTCATATAAATTATTTTTTTCCTGTTTGAATGAATTATAGGTCTCCTTGTACTTTGAAATTTCCTTGAGGACAGAGTCCTCATTTTCTAGTCTTCGTATCTGGCAGTCTTTTCAGGTGCCCAATAAATAAGTGTTGTTTACCACTAATTCTCAGTAACTAAGGTTACTTAGTAGATAACTCATTAAAGAGGCATCTACCAACTAGGGGATTATTTGGTTGTGAATTTCCAGCGGTGGAGATCTTCAAATAAAATAAGTGAACCAGATCAATGACTTTTTAAAGTCACTTCAATTGAGTCTGATTAGTAATTAAAGATCAGGATGGTGAACATATCTGTGTTCTTTTTTTTATTTTAAGATTTTACTGTTTTAAGTAATCTCTACACCTAACATGGGGCTCAAACCCACAACCCTGAGATCGAGAGTCAGGTATCTACTGACTGAACCAACCAGGCATCCCAATGGTGAACATATTTGAAGGCCATGTCAAGAATCTAGCCTGGTATTTTAGAAAATTTGGAAATCATTCATTTATATGAAATTTATTCAGTATATGGAATAATTTGCTTAAAAAGATAAAAAACTTAAAAATCAAATATATTTTAAAAGATGATTTAAAAGGATATCACAGATTTACTTTCTGCTTGTGGACAATACTGGTATGACATTATTTTCCTTAAAGTTAGGTGGGTTTTTGTAGAGAATCAATACCCTCAAGATTATGAACAATATTGTGAGTTTGAAATGTTTAATAATACTTAGCTACATTAAGCACTTTAGAATATTAACTCATTCAGTGCTCATTGCAACTGATCAGGTAGATGCTATTATAATCATTTTACAAATGAAACTGATGCAAAAAGTAGTCACAATAAATAGGATGCAGATTTGAACCCACTTTTCAGTACTCTTAATTGCTATACAAGGTAGTAACATGCATTCAGAGTATTTCAAGGCACCTTTATTGTGTTTGAGTCTCCTGAGAATTCTTTTGATAATTCAGTAGAGCTAGCAGAGCATATACTAACCTTGTAATGTTGTGGATGAGAAAACTAAGCCTCAAAGAAGTTATTCTGTGGTTTGTCCAGGAACTTTTAATGGGATAATCCTTCATTCTTTATGGGAGCTCAGTTTTGATTATCCAGAGAAATGGAGCAGAAAGAAATGCTATATAAAACAAATCAGAATCAGAAATCATCTAAAATCTCAGTCTTACTATTCAACGCTTGATTTCACATACTGCTTCCCAGACCTGCTGAGAACTGCTTCTGTTCTGTTGGAAATGCTAAAGAGCACTGTCAGTTTACATATGTGAAAGGAGACAAGACATTTTTAGAAATTCAAGTAAAGGGCACAGAATTAATTACTAATTAGATAAGTCTTTCCTCATAGTCCAGTCAACTTTTATATTTTCTCCTCTTTGGTACTTTAGCCTCTGTCCCACATCTACCTATATAAGATTTTTATTCAAAACATTGTTATATGTTATTTAAATATGAGCATATAATGTTTCAGAATCAGCAGACTGAAAATATCAGTAATTTCTGAATGGTGATATCTTAATATAGACTTTGAATGAAAGGCATTTATAAATCCAAAATGTTTAGGGGTGCCTGACTGGCTCAGTTGGAAGAGCATGCAACTCTTGTTCTTGGGGTCATGAGTTCAAACTCCATGTTGGGTGTAGAGATTACTAAATATAATAAAAATAAACTTTCAAAATATTTTTATTAAAAAATCCGAAGATTTTTAAATTTTCATTAAAAGAAATATATTTTTCACACTTCCAGCTTTCAAATAGGAGGAGCTCCTGTTTTCGTTTTTTTTTTGTTGTTGTTGTTTTTAAAGATTTTATGTATTTATTCATGAGAGACAGAGAGAGGCAGAGACATAGGCAGAGAGAGAAGCAGGCTCCTTGCAGGGAGCCCGATGTGGGACTAGGTCCTGGGACTCCAGGATCACACCCTGAGCCAAAAGCAGATGCTCCACCACTAAGCCACCCAGGTGTCCCAGGAGGAGCCCTTGTTTATTTCATGTATTAAAATTTTTCAGGCTGCCTGGCTGGCTCAGTCAGTGAAGTGTCTGTCTTTGGCTCAAGTCATAATCTCAGGGTCCTGAGATTGAACCCCCCACATCCAGTTCCTTGCTCAGTGAGGAGCCTGCTTCTCCCTCTAGAACCTGCTGCTCCTCCTGCTTGTGTTCTTTCTCTGTCAAATAAATAATATCTTCTTAAAATTTTTATTTACATTGTTAATGTTCATATTAGGTAAAACAACATTAAGGTCTTTAATTGATATATTTTTGAGATTTTTAAAATTTATTTATTCAGGAGAGACACAGAGAGGAAGAGACAGAGAAGCAGGCTCCTCACAGGGAGCACAATGGAGGACTCCATCCTAGACCGGGATCCCACCCTGAGCCGAAGGCCAACGCTCAACCACTGAGCCACCTGGGTGTCCCGGTCTTTAATTAATATTGATGAATTACTGGGGTTTTTAGGTATGATAGTGGTATTTTGATTATATTAAGAAAAATAATATTTGTCTTTTAGAGATACATACTAGAGTATTTATGGATGAAATTATATCTGGGATTTTTTTCAAAAATAATATGAGGGGGACTCCCAGGTGGCTCAGTCAGTTAAGCATCCAATTCTTGATTTCAGCTCAGGTATTGATCTCAGGGTTGTGAGACAGAGCCTGTCCTCAGCACAGAATCCTGCCTAAGATTCTCTCCTTCTTCCTCTGGCCCTTCCGCTTGCTCACTCTCTCTCTCTCTCTCTCTCTCTCTCTCTAAAAAAAATAATAAAGGATGACTGGGTGGCTCAGCGGTTGAATGTCTGCCTTCAGCTCGGGGCGTGATACCAGTCCAGGGATCCAGTCTCGCATTGGGCTCCCTGCGAGGAGCTCGCTTCTCCCTCTGCCTACGTCTCTGCCTCTCTCTCTGTGTGTCTCATCTTTTAAAAAATAAAAAATAATAATAGGAGAGAAAAAAGTAAGGTTAAAGAAGAAACAAAATTTTCCAGTGGTTGATAATTTTTGGATGGTGGGGACTCAACATACCATTCTAAAATTGTTCATGAAAAGTTAAAAAATTATGTATCATTTGACCTTCATAAAGAAAAATAAATCAGAAAAGGAAAGCCTTTTTTTCAGTAATCTAAAGGGTTATTGATATAATTAACAGTGGCATTCTGATGCTACTTTTATAATAATTGCTTTTTTTTAATGTCTTAGGTATATTTATTACCACAGCATAAGAAATTTAACTTTGGTGGGGAGATACTTTTACAGGAAATATTGGGGAGATAATATATACATCACAGATTGTTCTATTTTAATAATCTGCTTAAATGAATTTGAAACCAGTATAAAGAATAGGTATGTAAAATGAGATGGTAACATGTCTGTGCTGTATTTCAGAGGTAGCCTTTAGTATAAGCAGTTTGAAAAGTGAATAACAACATCATTAGGAATATGTACTGACCCTGTTTCTCTTAGTCTGGCTTTTGTTCAGAGGGCAAAATCAGAAACCAAGTCTTACTCTTTTTTCTCTGTGGTTACCTGTCATTGTATTTGGTGGACAATAGTAGATATTTATTATCAATTTGTGAAAAGGGTACAGAAAGGAATGACCAAATTTAGTAAATCTGTGTCTCAATCTGGTTTCCTATCCCACCTCTTCTGCAAATTTGCTCTGAGGTCAGTTACAATTTGAGTAGTCTTTAGAATGAAGATAATATATATTGGTATGGCACCAAAATATTTTTAAGTAAAGCAATACTGTTACTGATAAACTGTAAATCTCTTTTATAAAGGTAGTTACTTCAGGATTAGATTCTGGTATTAATGATAATGCCACAAATAGAACTTGTGATGTGTTTGCCATACATACTATATTCTTTCCTATGAGATATTGTTATGACTGGCCATGTCACATGTGGCTATTTAAATTTAAATTTTAATTAACTGCAAGCAATTAAAATTAAAAATTCAATTCCTCAGTTGCACTAGCCATATTACAGATGCTTAATAGCCACATATGGCTAGGAGCTACTCTATGAGATGGTACAGATTATAGAACGTTCTCATAATCACAGAAAGTTCTATTAGACCAGCACTGCTTAAGTACCTACTTGATTGATTAGAGTCCAAGAGGATAGTATGAGTGGCCTCAGATTCTCCTGTCACCATAAAATACAGTATTCAGCAAGGGTTTAATAAGCTTGCCATTTGTCAGCCCAAATAACTGCACTGTCTTGCTCTTTCTAAAGTAATGGAATAGAGTGTCCACAGATTGTTCTTTTAATTATTATGTTAACATCTTTACTTTTTGGTAGTAATTAATTCCTGCTTGGATCTCTCCTAAAAATAAGCACATGGCTTAGTATTAGAGGTAAACAGAGATTTGATTTCTTTTAAGATGTATACTTAAGCGTCTGTGTTCTTTCTTGCTATCCTCACCTGGCACAGGTAGAAGAGTCAGCAATGATGGGAGTAAGTGGCTATGTGGAGTATCTCCGAGAGCAAGAAGTATCTGAGCGGTGGTTCCGGTACAACCCTCGTCTCACCTGCATCTACTGCGCCAAATCTTTCAACCAGAAGGGGAGCCTGGACCGCCATATGCGCCTACACATGGGGATCACGCCATTCGTCTGCCGCATGTGTGGCAAGAAGTATACCCGGAAAGATCAGCTGGAGTATCATATCCGCAAGCACACAGGCAACAAACCCTTCCACTGTCATGTTTGTGGCAAAAGTTTCCCCTTCCAGGCCATCTTGAATCAGCACTTTCGCAAAAACCACCCTGGCTGTATACCCCTGGAGGGGCCTCACAGCATCTCCCCCGAAACAACTGTCACATCTCGAGGACAAGCTGAGGAAGAGTCACCATCACAAGAAGAGACAGTTGCTCCTGGGGAGACTGCCCAGGGCTCTGTGTCCACCACTGGGCCAGACTGAAACTTCGAGGGGGAGGGGGCAGACCCTCTTCCCCTTTGGGCCGTGAGCAGCCAGCATCGGGGCCATGGGCTGGTACTTAGATTCACAAAATGTCACATCACTAAATCAGAAGATGCTCCCAAGATGTTGCCAAGCTAGAGGATCAGCAACATACACAGAAGCACGAGAGGCTCTTCCCCTCCTCCTTCCCACCTCATACTTTGGAAAATAATCAAGCAAATCAACTTTCTAATTCAGGGATCAACAGCCTTGGTTTGTTAACTTTATAAGAAAAAAATTTTTTAACAAAACAATGATAAGTGGTCATTTATCTGCCAGTCATGTTTGAACACTGTACTTTGGTCCATATCATCCTGGTGGCTGTCATTGCCCGGATCTAAATAAACTGCAGGAGCTTTGGTCATCTGAACCAGCCAGCCACAAGAGAGAAGGAAGTAGTCATGATGGTGACAGGGAGGAGGCCCATCTCCTCTTCCTTCCTTGCCAGAACATACAGTTTCACGTTTCAAGAAAAAAAAGTATCCTGGTGGTTCTTACTGTTTCGAAAGGTTAGACCTTATCTTTGCTCTAATTGGGCATCTGATCCTTTGCCTGATTGTCTCGTGTAAGCAGCCATCTTGGAGCGGTGTTCTAGTCAGCAGCACCACCTGAAGCACTTTAGGCACCTGGACGGGAAATGAGCAACAGAGTGTTTGCAGTAGGTTCTGCTACATTGGGGGGGTTCAAGTATCATATTGAGGAAGAGGGAAGCAGGGAAGGAAGTGGGGTGTTTCTGCAGATGTCAAATGGTGCAGAGTACTACAACTTCCTGATCAGTATTTGTAAACCATAGTGCTTAAATATCTTTGATTGTTAGGAAATGGCTCTCGTCCAGATGAATTGATGTGTTAGGCTGAGTACCAAAGTTTCATCCAGTCTCTCTGGCTCCTCCTTTCACATAACAGCAATATTGTACATCAAAAATGTCACTTTCCAGTGAAATGAGCCTGGACTGTATTTTTAAATCTACAGGTCTCCATATTTGATAACTTTTATATGAAGTTTTAAACACATTTTTTCTGCAATATTGTGGTTGAAGAAATTCAACACTATGGTTCTTATTGCAACCACAATAGCATTTCCTTCTACATATGTAATAGTTTATATTTTCAAGCCAATAGAAGAACCTCACTAAATCCATGTCTCACGTCTGCAAACCTAGTAATTCATACTATTCACCAGCAAATTGCTGGTGACTCCAAGAGCTTTGCTTTTTAATAATACACTACAGGGCATTCACCAGAAAACATCATGCACAATCATGTTGCAATAAATTGATCAAGGGATCAGTTTTGATCAGGTTTGGTTACTTAATCATTCCTAAGATTTTTAAAACTTCAAGGGACCTTTTTGATAATTCTGGGGATTTCTGAGATTCTTAATCCAGCACTGAGAGTCAGAAAAAATTTACCAAACATGTAGAGTTTTAGATGTCCTGTCTCGCATTCAGAGAATGAAGGAGGATTAGTAAGAGATGCGGGCAAGGATATGCTTACAGTGCAAATAGAAAAGGAAAAATCTATAGCTTCTCCTAATTGGTCATTAATGTTTTAAGAGTATTTAAATATGCAGTGGTTTAAGCAGTTGTTTTGATGCAAGATAATACAAGATATACAGGATATATCTTGTAGATAATACAAGATATTTGGGGTGGGGCTGGTCATGCCTGCACTGGTGAGCCATTTGTGAGAATGCTAATAGCGTGTTACCTTCTTGAGAATGCTTTGTGGTATGTGGAAAGGTGGGTAGAAACAATGGCATTTCTTTGATGATAGGAAGTTAGAGTGCAAAGAGTAGCTCATAAGCAATCTGAGAATTGTACATACGCATAAAGCTGCACCATGTCACTACAGAGTGTTTATTTTCTCTTCTGGAAAAACGTAGAAATGCATCTTAAATAAGAATATAATGGTGTCACCATTTGATAAGAGCCTACCCTTACAGCTGTCGAAGTTGTCTTTTGTCTTTTAGAGACATAGACTGGGGCATTCTCTTCTTTAGCTGGGCAACAGCATGATAGGGCCATTGTAGGGACCAGCTATGCTCTGTGGCATAGACGTGGATTTGAAATTAGACTAAAATCTTTAGGGAAACATTTTAGCTGGTAATCAAGGCTATCCGTGGACAGATTCGCCATTACTAAATAGGAAGGTGAGACGTACAGAATATGCTGCTGTTGATGGAGCTTTTAAGCCTACCAAAAAATTTTTTAAGTCCATCCTACTTTTGAGAAGTAGTATGCTGGAAAATTCTTTATGCTTCGTTAGTTTCTTAGGTTTTCTGTGAGAAAATAGAGCTTTTTAAACTCTTCCAAATTGTAAAGGTAAAGTGCAGTAATTTTTGTAAAGAGAAACTGCAGCATTTGTCAGTACTCCATCCAAGATTAGCAACAAACATTTTAAACAACATAGGGACTCTTTAGTAGATGTGGAAATGCTGTGAGTGTTTGGTGGGTTCCCCTCCCTTTTCATTCACTTGTAATAGGTTTTTGCTGTATTGATACTGTGAATAGAGTGCTACCCGGTCTTCTAGGACCACATCAGCACAATCATGTTTGCTGGTTCTTGCCTCTTAATTGGCCAAGCCCAGAGCCATGAAATTCATGAACATTCAAGCCAGGCTAGCTTTTAAACAAATTAAAGTTTCTGAAAGCAATTTCCATTTTAGCCAGAAAAGATATTATTATTCTAAATAACTATCCAAGATTCTTATCCAGGTTCACTGTGACATTGTCCTAGTTCTTAGCTAACATCATTGTAGGGTCATAGGAGTTAGTAGTGTTCTATCTACATTAATGAATAGCTGTGTTGATGTGTGCACAGAGGATACCTCTCATACAGATGTACTAAATGGACTTTAGCTAATGCTGAAAACTCATTACCAAATCTTAACTTGCACATGTCACCTTGTGAAGGGAACTGCATTAGCAATGAGAGCTAAATCATCATTAAGTACTTTAATGCCATGAAATAGCAAACACTGGGACCGTTTCCATTCATTGAGTGGCACTTAATAGCAAAGGAGCTACCCAATATTCTCAGCAAAAGAAGAGAGATGGCAATATATTAATCAGTTTTCATTCCAAGCGGTACTTTTTATTCTCTCTGAACTCTGATACCAGTATAAATAGAGCATTGGCATGAACAGGGACACTGTACTTAGGCAGAAAGGCTCTTTCTAATGATTTGTTCTCTCTTTACTCAGAACCATACTTACCTCTGAACCAAGTTGAGTTTTATGTACTTTGCCAACTACTCCCAAGCCATCATTGTACCAGACAGTTAAATCTAATCTTGAATAAGTAAAAATAAATGTGTTCCTAAAGGATAAAGATTGGACAAGAAGGGAGATAGCCATTAAGGAAAGTTTTCTTGTCATTTTGTTTTATTGGTATTTTAAAATGTTTCCAGTTCCCTCTACATCAGTGAAAACAGAGTTTCCAAAGATGTGACAATAGAAATAAAGCATTCTCCTCCCAGCTTTGGAGTTGAGATCTGGCCTTGGTTGGAAGTGATCTGGAGGAAAAGTGAAATAGTGAACTTCATCCTTAATAGCTGAATGATCTCTGGTCAAGAAATAACTTTAAAAATATTTTAGCTGAAAAAAAAATTAGCTGTTACTTGACACCAATCTCTTTCTTTAACTGGTAAAAATTATATTTTGTTTGACCAGAAGATCTAATTTATTTTTTTTCAGAAGATCTAATTTAAAGAAATAAAAACAGTGGGTAATGGAAAGGAAATTAAGTAGAACAAAGGAGGCAGTCTTCTTAATCCTAGTGGAAGGTGCTTAGTTAGGAAGGGGTCGGAATCCTGGAAGTCTCTCTTTCTTCAGCTATGACAGGTGTTTGGTTTTTTTTTTTTTTTTTTTCTCTTCCTCAGATTCTCTTCTCATCTGCTTCCTGGTTTAAGGCATAACAGAGAAGTCTTTATTGAACTCATCTTTGAAAATGGGGCTCTTTAGCTTTGCCATTTGGGAAAGAGTGCACAATATTGGAGTATTTTAGTTGCTGAGATTTAGAAAAAGGACACCAAGCTCTGTGATGTCAGGTATATCCTGGGCTGGAGAGGATGCCCCTTAGCAGAATTATGTCCCTAGAATTTATGAATTAGATCAGGCTTCCACAGACTGCGGCCACAAGTGCCCAATCCTGAGGTCATCTGTTTGTCTAAAGAGAGTGGTGGTGGCACCTGTTCTTCAGGTATTGTTCCTATTGTGGTGGCAAGGTTGAGTGCTTTGTGACACAGACCACATGGCCAGCAATGCCTGAAAATGTACTGTTTGTCACTTGACAGAAAAGTTTGCTAACTCCAGAATTCGATTTGAAAGATTCAGATTTGAAAGACCCCCAAATTTGTCACTCCTGCCATTTTGTCTTTTTAATAGTTCCATTGAGGTTTTAAATTCATGTTGCCATGTATGCATCCATTTCTTGAAAGAGCTTATCATCTTTTTCTGGATCTTTTTCTCATAACTCTTTGTGTTCCTTCTTAATGATTCCCATTGCTTTAAAAGCATTTAGAATAGCCTTATGATCTGTCCTTGCCTTAAAGGCGCAGGTAGACTAAAGTTTAGGATGGTAGTTACAGATGTAACAAAGGAATTTAGAAAATAATTCCCGTGCGTAATAATGTAGGATTAAATGAGTACCGTGTTTACATAAATTTACATAAAATACTGTAAAAAAATTAATGTTTTTATAAGTAAGTTTTGCCATTCCTCTGAGATCACTTGAACTGATTTGCATAATGATGGCAAGAATGAATTTATTCCCACTATTATTAAAAATTTAACTTCTGTTATGAATAAGTGGTTTGACTCTTACCCAGAATACTGTCTTTCTAGATTAGAAACCTCTATCCTTTCCCTATATTACAAATCTTCCTTTTCATTTATTCAAACTCACTCTGTTCCATGTGGAGTAGTAAAAAGCCAAATCTTACTCCGTTCCTTTCTTTTTCCCAATGAATGTTTTAAAGCATAATGAAATCTCTGAGGATTTCAAATTCCTCTTAAACCTATCTCCTGATTTCTGTTACTATCATTTTTCTAAATATATACTGGGCCATTACTTATTTGCTCTCTGACCATTCTTACTGTTCAAATAGCTTATTTATGCCAGATATGCAAAAATTGGAA